GACTTGCTGACTGTTATGATTCTGAAAATAATCAGCGGTGAATGAGCTGCCCTGAAGGCAGAAAGCTGTCACAGCTATTTTGCGTTCACCCCTTGTTTTACGCAATTAACAATTTTCATAAGTATCACGACAGACTTCAAGAAAGTCAACTGTTAATACAACCACAGTCAACGAATAGAAAATAGTTTTTTTTGTTTTGTGTAGAAAAAGACCCCCTGGGCGTGTGCCCGGATATGACCTCAACTTCTTTATTGTGTCAAAAGTGGGGGCTGGGCGTTTGTCCAGGCATGGGCTCTTACCCGGATAAGTACGGTAATCAGTCACCACTCCATATGAACAGTCACTTCCCCATAGAAAGTCACCACACAACATGAAGAGTCACTTCCCCACTTGAACAGTCACCACCCCGAACGAACAGTCACTCCCCCACACGAACACTCTTCCTCACATGTACAGTCACCACTCCACACAAACAATCACATCTCCACAGGAACATACTCCTCTCCACATGATTAGTCTCCAATCATAGTTGCCCATATGTATGTGAAATGTTAACATAGCAACTAAGTTAAAAGAAGAGAGCCCCTAAAAGTACATTTAAAGGGAAATCAAATTGGTCCAACAAATTATTATGTGTACCGGGTAGTTTATCATACATTTAATTAAAGGCTTTTTATAAAAATAATTTCTTAGATGCAGCCATAGTATGTACTCACCACTTGCTGCTACGTAGTACATGTACAGAAAAATGTGCACAGTTTTGTTGACAGTGTCCCTTTAACCATTCGAATGTCACAATTTTTCTTGTCAAAATTTTGGTGGTGCAAATTTTAGTGAACATAAACTATTGTTACAAAGTGTGTACGTTTTGTTTCAGGAGTGGTCCAATGATGAGGCAGCCTCGGAGCCAGAAGATGAAGTACAGGACTCTGGTATCCATGTCAACGAAAGTGATGATACTCTTGTAACAACAACCCTAGAACATAGCGAACATGTTGAACAGCATGCTGGGAAGGATTGGATATCTAATAATGTGGTGGTACAATATTGGCATGGTGATGTGGAAAAACATGTGTTTGGTGGTCATCCCACAAGTTCACTCGCTAAACAGTGGTATGTTGATTATAAAGTTTATAGGGATTGGCTAACTTAGAATCTTGTCAGATGATTTAGTTGATACACTGCATTACGCAATTTAATTCTAAATCATCAAACTAAAATTTTGTAAATTTTCTATTGACATATTATCATATGCTGCATTTCATACGTTTGCAGAAAGACTTACCAAACTATCTAGCATGTGTAGTAACGGATGCGAGGCAATTAGGTGTCGTACACGAGTGCCGGTTCGAGTCACGCATGCAGTACGTGTTTACTTTGATTTGACGTTGTATTTACCTTGCTGTTTATTCGGTGGCATTTGCTTACTTTACTTTCTATGTCTACAGCAACTATGAGTTTACAATTATTTCTCAGTACTTATCTAGCACCACCTACGTACTGTCAGAGCTTTTGTTGTCAAACCACAAAATGTTGTCAAATAATATACTGTATTAAAAAGTATTTTTAATATTTTCGCTTGTATTTTATTTTTGCTATTTTCGCTGAAGGAATGATTCAGTGAGAATAAAATCCAGCGAATATATCTTTTTCCCTGTATTTCCCAAATACATACAACATAATCAGACTAACATCTCGGAAGCATAAATTTGTGTTTAATGCTACCCTGATAAAAGACAATTGTGATTAAAAGTACAATTTCTACAACTCAACATCATATGCACCTTTAATTATCCATTTTGATAGGGAAATTTTGTAGACCATTTACTAAAAATATTTCTTTCAGATCTGGTTATATTTTGGCGAAATTGTTTTGTTCAGTGATATAATATAATAAAACATTATCTACTTTTATTTGTATATTTCTGATATCTAATTTTATATATGTTTTGTCCAAAGAAGAGAGCTGACATTCTTCCTTATTAGTCCCCGTCGGTCTTCGTCCGTGCGTCCGTCCATGCGTCCGTCGGTCTGCAGTCATATTTCAGAATCCTTTGGACTGATTCCGTTCATTCTTTGCATGTTCCTAGTATGTGGGACATATGCACATGCAGTGGTTTAGCGTTTCGATTCAAAATGGCCGACTGGCAGCCATCTTGTTTTTTGAAAATGTTGTATTTTGGACATGTCAGTTTTCATTCAAATTTGGTACATAGATTATACATGTTAAGATACATGTCCTCTGACTGTCTGTGCATCCGTCTGTCCAGCCGCGCGTCGTTCGTCTGCGCGTCCGTCCGTCGTTCGTCTGCGCATCCGTCCGTCTGTCCGTCCGGAGTCATTATTCTGAATCCTTTCACCCGATTCTGTTCATTCTTTGCATGTGTCTAGTACTTTATGTTAGACATATGCACATGCAGTGGTTTAGCGATTCGATTCAAAATGACCGACTGGCAGCCATCTTGTTTTTTGAAAATGTTGTATTTTAGACATGCTTTGTCAGTTTTCATTCAAATTTGGTACATAGATTATACATGTTAGAATACATGTCCGCTGACCGTCTGTGCATCCGTCCGTCTGTCTGCGCATCCGTTTTTTTTTTAAATGTGGTATCTTGGACATGCTTTGTCAGTTTTCATTCAAATTTGACATGTCCACGACAATTTGTTTCAAAATCGGATCAAGGATGGCCAATTGACAGCCATCTGACTTTTTGGCCTTACTACTATATTTCCAAGATATATGTACACATCATACATGTCACTTTGTTTCATAATCAGATCAAAGATGGCCAAATGTTTTTATCTCTGTCACCCATGTATCATTTTCATTGATATTTAGCATGTCATAAATGGATACATGTACATGTCGTTTCAATTTGCAATTTGATCAAATATTGTTTGTTTAAAATGTGAAAACTTGGATATGCTTTCACTTCTGATCTATGTTTTTCTTTGCTATGTCTTAAACCGGAGGAGTTGTCACACAACACATGTTTGAACTTGATGTAAATAAACAATCTGTTGTATACACTCGCGACAACTCTTCCACTTTAATATGACAAGCACAAAGAGAACTTTCAAAAATTTAACAGGGACTGTTTCATTTTCAATGACTTGTTTTTTCTTATATTTCTTTTTAAAGGGATTTGTATCTTTATGAAAAGCAGCCATTTCATCAGTTTGGAAGTAAATTTACAATGACGGAAACACAGGTTGTGAGAGAGACGATATGGTAAGTAGAATAGAATAGAATAGAAATGCATATACCGTTCTATTAGTAGTGCATATGCTTACGTAAATACAGTGGTGTTTCTATAATCAAAATAAGTAATCAATTGTTGGTTTATATGCCCTTCTATTAGAGATGTGTTTCTACCGTACTTATCCGGGTAAGAGCCCATGCCTGGACAAACGCCCACCCCCCACTTTTGACACAATAAAGAAGTTGAGGTCATATCCGGGCACACGCCCAGGGGGTCTTTTTCTACACAAAACAAAAAACTATTTTCCATTTGTTGACTGTGGTTGTATTAACAGTTGACTTTCTTGAAGTCTGTCTTGATACTTATAAAAAAAATTAATTGCGTAAAACAAGGGTTGAACGCAAAATAGCTGTGACAGCTTTCTGCCTTCAGGGCAGTGCGTTCACCACTGATTTTTTTCAGAATCATAACAGTCAGCAAGTCTATAAAAATAAATATTAAAGCAGAAACAGTAGTTCTCTTTTTGAAATATGTCGTGGCCCTAAAAAGGGCCGGTCGTTTGGTTTGTGCTTCCTTGGAAAC